CCCACCCACACCCACACCCCACACCCAGCCACACCCACATCCACACCCAGACTCATATCGTTTGCGACACTTAATGAAATATTTGTAGTTTTTGTTTTCATGAAGTAAAAGTTCCATTTTCTCATGGTGATTTACAAATAATCATAATGGACAAAGACATACACTCTTTTCTATGGTAGTGACTGTTTTTGTTTATTCTCATAAAAGATATTCTGTAAAATTTATCATAGAAAAATGAATATCTCGGCTATTCTTTTTTCCTAACAATATCTGCAAATTGTTGTATATTTTCATTTTTTTCCCTTAAATCAAGCTTCATCAAATTTTAATGTATTAATAAATACAAGAGAACGGCTTACTATATTTCGAGTACTATTTTCGGATGATATGTTCTATATCTTCTACATATAATATTACGAATCGCTGATAGATTTCTTTATTTTTTTCATTATCTTTGTATAAATTGAAATCACTGCTTACTGGAGTATTGTAAGCTGAATTTTATTCATATCTGACAAAATCGTCTAAATCTAAATTCTGTATACAATGATTCATCTCTTGATTTTGATGATTTTATTGTTTTCATCTTTGCTGACAAAAAAATTATAGGTCTAGTCTGTTCTAGTATGTAATTTCTATCTCGGCGCTTGTCATTTTTATTCTCCCTTTAATGTACAACACAAACGCACAAAAGATTGATGCTTGACATGATTGAAGTCAGTAGTTTTATGAAGCATTTCGAACATATCTAATGAATGTAAAGTATGAACTTGAATGTCACTTGTATAATAGAATTCTCTGTGATTATCGATGTTTTAATTTATGAATTAAATGTACATGAAAGTGAAAGTCGCGAGGAATAGCTGTTCAAGGTCAATGTTTACTATCTTTATGTACTAATGTATTACCTACTAACGATGTTCATTTAATGCAAATAGTAATACCTGTTTCAAATTTGTTAAATAACCAGATCTTAATATTGATTTCTTACAACAAGGTAATGAATAGTATGCGACAAATCTCAGTGAGAATTTTTCTTTGTACACTGAAAAATTATTCAACAAAAGTAATTATTTCTATTTATTTCTTCTGTTAATAAAAATTGATATTTTACAGATTTCTAGCTAACATTATTATTTGACATTTGAACTTGATAAGTAACAGAAAATTTAAAAAAAGTCTCTTATCAACCAATTCAATAAATTGTGAATCGTATTACTTAGCCTTGTATTTCTATTGTCATTTATCATTAGAACTATTCTTAAGTAGAATACGTTTACATGAAAAAAATCAAAACTATTTAGTATCTTTTATATATGAATAAACAAATGTATTATTTCTAGTACATTTGTCAAATCAGCGAAAAAAAGTACATTACTATGTTCGATTTAATTTTTTCTAAGCTTCATGTTTTTTCAGCAAGTTCTTTTTTTATGAGCATACGTAGCAATATTGACTCACTCAAATTAAAATCTAATTAACGCATAAAACTAACTTTATTAGTAGAAAGTTGAAGAATTTTAGAATTGATTCCATATCATCAACTGTATTATTGATGAAATATTGAACAAAATCACGTGTCCGAAAACTGTTATCCGAAATCCAATTTTTTCAGAAGTCTATTTAGGTCTCAAAATGAGACTTTTCGTTTTATCCTTCATTTCAAGATCTCTTGTACAAAGCTTTACCGTTCAAAATTGATTTTCGAAATTTTCATTCATTTACAAAAGAATTTTTTGCTTTGATATCTATACTTATTCACGTCGCTAACTATCAATAAACTCAGTTATTTGAACAACTTAAGCATGTTCCGGAAAAAAAAACTTTTTTTAAAGATTTTGTAGTCTAAAGTGTCCTGTATGAAAGTCGCTATTGAACTTTCAAAAATACTGTTTGAACTTGGAGTATTTGTGAATGAAAATACACTGAGTTAAAACTTTTCTCTTTTTTCCTTGTGTCAAGTTGCTAACGCTAGTTTTTTTCAACGTACTTTAGCGAAGCAAAGGTCTACACCGCTGAGTTTTTTCAAAGTATCTAAAACAACTCAAATTACATTCATTACATAGATATTCATTAAAAGATACTTCAATCTACAAATATGTAAGCATCTTTATTGTGGGAAATCATCAACATATTTCACATTTTCCACGTATTGTTGATATTAATGTCTAATAAAATATTTTCTTCAAAAAGAATTCAATCACTTCTGTTGATATTCATTTGTATTCTTTCAACAATGACAAACAGTGAAAAATAATCCTTTGAGTTATAAAAGAAAAAGTTCGAATATTCATTCTATTAAATATGTTTTTGTTTCGGCATGATTAATTGTAATATATGATAATCAATTATTCAGTCGAAAAATTCCCTATGAAATATCGTTCTAGTTTTTTGGTTATCAATTTATGTAGTTAATATTATAAGTAATTAAAAAACGATCGATTTATGATTAAAACCAAATGTAATTATCTTATATTATGCAGATGAGATGAAAATTTTGTTTTTTTGGTTCACTTATTTAATAAATATAACGGAAGGCGAAAATTTTAAGTTAATAAATATCGTGTTTTTGTTAACAGCAATGTCATTTCTTTTCAACAACAATCGTGTGTTTGTCTATTATCATTATTTTCATAATTGTCTAACTGATCGATTCCAGCTTATATAAAGCTATAAAAATTGGCTAGCATGTTCGTCATTACATGAGTATGTTTCTTTCCTATTTCTCGATGATGAATGTCAGTTTTTCCTTATATTCTTTTTTTCTGCTTTTTTTTCTATCGATCTAGCTTTCTTTTACATAGACGACTGACATCACTTCGGCAATCTTTTTTTTTTCATATCGTACTGCTCGCGAAAAAAACCATTGCATCCTAAAGAGCAGTATGTTTTGTTGGTAGGTTCTATCACCATCAGTGTTCTTTTTATTCCTATCGTTCTCCTTATTTATTGATAGATTTGATGGAAGAAACAAAAGAAAAGAAGCAAAAAAAAAAAGAACGTTCAAATAGAAATAATATTCTAGCTTATTGTTGACAAGTAATTTTATAAGTAAATTGTAAATAAAAAAAAAAAAAAAAGATTTAAAATGGTTATTTTTATGCCACATTATCGACAACATAATCGACATTGTCATAATCGTACTCGTTCATCATCATCAAATGGACAAAATCATACAATAACAACGACAAATGATATTACAACAAATAGTTGTAAATTTGCATCAAGAATGTTATGTCGTTTTGCATTTTCTCTTTTTCTATTTATTATTGCACTTTTTCTATTTCAATTCTCAATTAATAATGCATCAAATCAATTAGAAGGATCATATATTATAGCTTCAATTTTATTGATTATTTCTATTGTTTCATTTATACGAACATGTCATAAATTAAGACGATATCATGTTATTATGGTTACAAGACGTCGACTTATACAAGTAAAAGAATAAAACTCTTAATTTATACTTTACTTTTTTTTCCTTCCATCTTTTTATTTTTAATATAGAGATTACGTGAACGACAGCAAGCATATGATTTAGCATTATCATTAAATAATAATGATAATTCCGAGTATGTATTTCTTAACTTTTTATTTTTATTTTTATTTATTCATGTTCATTGTAGTCTTATTAGAAATGTCAATACCGATTTACCTTCATATAAAGAATTATTTCCTTCTCGTCGAGATACAAATATTAGTATTAATGATACATCATCATTACCACCACCATCTTATGATGATTATATTAAAACACTTACTATACATCGTCCTATAACAAGTCTTCCAATATCATCATTACGTTCTCATACATTATCAATAATAAATACATCTTCTCAATCACAAACAAATCCAACACAATGTATTTGGATCACAGATCAAACACGTAGACCTCTTTGTATTCGTGGTACTGTAACATATGTATAGAAAAATAAAATATTAGAAATTAGCATATTATTCTATATTTATTTATTTTTTGAAAATGAAAAATTTGCACAAAAGAATATACATATATATATATATATATATTCTTTCTAATATAATGAATCAATCATTTATTTTTTTTTTGTCACACCATATTTTGTGCACGTCGTTCACGATATTCACGATCATCAATACCTGAATTGATATCTGATCGATTTTCTTTACTAGTTCGATCAAAATTTATCGTTTTTGATTTAACTATTGTTTTAGAATTTTGAATAGTATCTCCTTTAAGATCACTTATATCCCATACTTTTATTGAACCATCAACTGATCCACTAAATAATCGATTATCAACAATCTAAAAAAAAAATAATTTTTTTTCAATTTTATCCAAAGAAAATATTTTCATATTGAATATAACCTGTATACAATTGACAGCAAGTGCATGAGATTTAAAAGTTCGTTTGATCATACCTGAACGTGCTTCAAAACATCGTACAATTGCATCACCACAACCAGTAAAAACTAATTACCCAAAAAACAAAAAAGTAATAATAAGATAAATAAATAATAATTCATTATCATACCAAGACCATGTTCAACTTGAATACATGAAACTGAATGATGATGTCCTTTATATATTCTTGTACAATCACCAACATCAATAACCCAACAACGTGCTGTATGATCAGCACTTATTGAATAGAGTAATTTATTAGTTATCTAAATAAATAAAAAGAAAATAAATTTTTATTTTGATCAACTTTTTTTTTTTTTGTATATTAATCTTTTTCTTACAAGAAGATTAATAACTGCTGCATGATGTTGATCATAAACACGTAATTCAATACCACGATTTATATTCCAAACTCGTATTGTACCATCACCTGAACCAGTAAATAATAATTTACCTTGTGTATCTGTTATCAAACAAAGTACAGCTCCAATATGACCTTCTAATGTTTTTAAACATTCACCAGTTTCAAATGACCATATTTTAGCTGTTGTATCTTGTGATCCAGTTATAACAATATCTTTTGTATAAATATTCATTTCATCTTCAAAATCAGTTTCAATTGTATCATGATTTGATGGAATAAATACAATTGGTAATATACCATGATGATGACCACGAAATATACGTAAACAATCACCTGTATAAAAATCCCAACAACATGCTGTACGATCATAGGATGTTGAAAGAAGATAATCACCTATAAAGAAAAAAAAAGATAAAACTATGACTGAATTATTCTTTTTGAAATAAAATTTTCTTGAATTTTGATTATTACAAATAAGTACATTTGACCTTATAGTAGATCTTACAAGAAATTTTCATTCGTAAGAATAACGATTCCCAAGAGTAAAACAAACATGCCGCAAAAAAAATAATCTTTGCATGTTAACTCATTCGATTAACTGTAATACATAAGAACGATGTATTAAAATTCAAGTAAATAATTTTTTTTTTTGTATTTTAATTTAGTCTAATAGTTTCTAAATTTATTTCTAATCAGAGATCAATTATAATATTCATGACAAAATGAGTAAGATTATCAATATGTAAAATGAAGAACATCATCATAAAAAAAAGTAAAATAAACTCTTTTTCTAATAAGAAAAAAATGAAGTGTGATGTTTGATAAATCTATGCTAACTATCAATCACTTGTTGACATGTCAATCAATATTGACGAATATATATGCTTGTAATAGATTGTGTCTCAGATTCAAAACGATATGGATGTTGTTGAAGCGCAAAACCTTCATTTCCTTATATCTCTTCTTTTCAAATAACTATCGGACAACAAAAAGTGTACAATCATATACGATATACCATCGATAATGTGAACAAATGTGTAACATAGCTATACATCAACGGATATTTCATTCCATATATATATTTTACACTTTTTTAAAATCATAGCAGTGATGAAATACTTCGACTATAATAACTGTTGATAAGTTAAATTTGTTATTAAAAGGGTATTTCATAATCTTATTGAAATAATAAAGTATTGGATAGTTTTTTATATCGTTTTCAAATGTATATTGAAATAAGTAAAAAACTTGACAAATAACGACAGCAATTTCTTATAAGAAACCGATTTCGAATTAGTTTCAATTGAAGATATTGAATTGCAAAGTTGTCGCTATAAGTTTTACTAGTAAAATGCAATTTTCATACAAACGAAGGAAAGATTTTTTTTTGTTTTCTTCGTGACTTACATTCAATGTGAAAATCGTTTTTTTTAGTATTCAACGTAAAATTTTTCTACTTATCAAGTAGATGAAAATCTCTTTGACTCCTCAAATTGTTTTGTCCTTTTAATTCTCTCTCTTATTTAATTACAATTTCGTAAATCAAATTTTTCGAGACAAAATATTAATATTCTTGTATTTCACAATTCAGATCAAAAATTAGTTTCTATCAGATAAGTTGACACTAAAATCTAAATACCTGACACTGTTTTCTTTGCTTTTTCAAAAGACTCAAAACAAATTGAAATTTGATATCTTCAAAAGTGTATAACTATATCTAAACGAGTAAAACAAAATAAAACTACTAAACTTGATCAAATAAAAATAGTCTTAAAAGCATTTTTTTTTTCAGAAAACAATAGGACAATAATTTTTTTTGTTTCAGATGAAATTCTAAGTAAATATAACTATTTTACTAATTAAAATAACATAAAATTTGATTAAAAATATTCAAAATAAATAATTATTTAAATTACCAATACAAATTACTCGATTAACTAATGATGTATGACCAGTACAAATAAGTATGCATTGTCCATTAGTCATATCCCATTTTCTTATTGTTTGATCAGCACTTGCACTAATTAAATAATTTTCATACATAACAATATGTGTTATATAATCAGTATGACCAGAAAGTATATTAAGACATTCAATAGGTGTTGTTTTCGTACTCCATAAACGTATAGTATGATCATCCGAACCTGTTGCAAGTACTGTACTATCATTACTTAATGCCATACAATTAATTCCACTTTCATGATCATCTAATGTTTGTATCAACCAATCTTGATCACGTCGTGCTCGATGTTTTGATCCAGCACTACCCATATCAGAGAGAGAGAGATGTAAACTTAACTCTGAAAGAAAAAAATTGTTTTTTGTTTTGTTTCTTTTGATTTTCTATCATAGATTATAATCGAAAAAATTAAAAAACAAATAATTTCTTGAATGTCACTGGAAAAAAAAGATCATAACCACTTACGTTACACTTTTTCTTTCTTCTTTTTCTCGATTCAGAGTTATTTTTTAGTGCCATTTCTACGATCATGAATTAAGCACAAAAGTCTCCAGAGATAACAAAGAGCACAAGTAATATATATTACACGAACTCCTTTTTTTTCTTCTTCTCTTGTTATGTTGATCATTGAAATCTCATTTTCCTTTTTTTTTGTTCAATCTAATAATAATATATATATATATACATGTATACAAAATTAATTTTACAATATTGAAATTAGTTTTTTTTTTGAAAGACACATGTTATTTCATGGACAAAAAGAATCCTTGAATTAGTCTTTGATAGCTTTACAATTGTTTCGAATAACAATGAATGTTTATGCTTTAAATCTATACGTATTTACGTACAAATGACAAAAACATTATATATAAATCTTTCTTCCCCCTCTTTCTCTGTTTTTTTTTACTCTTCTCTCTTGATTTGGCTTCGGTGCTAATCCTACTCACACATACAAATCACAAGTTCACATAATTTTTTTTTCTTGTCAAATAAACGAAGTTTTAAAGTAAGTAATATGTCAAATTGATTTTTTATTTCTTTCGATGAAAACGTTTTTTTTTTCTTTCTTTTCTGGATTCTACTATTATATTAAGAATAGTATAAGTCTAATATAATTTACATGAATGATGTAACACTTTCAATAGGTTCCATATGATGAACTGTTCATTTGTCATCATCGTTTTCGTAAAATATACGTATACATATATATATATCGGTGTGTAAAGGTTTAATAAAACAACATCACCTTCTCTTTGCTTTCTTCTCTCTTTCTTTCTTTTTTTTTAGTCTTTTCTTTTCTTTCGTCACTCTTATGAATTTTCCTTCTGGTTCCATTCATTCATGTCTTTATTCATAATGAAACTTTTATCATTTTGTTAGTATATCTACAATAAACTACATAATAATTATAACGATTTATGATCAAAACAAATATATCAATGTATATATTTATGTTTATTCCTTGAGTTTTCGATCATGATTAATTCAGCTGCTTTACATTGAGTGACCTGAACAAAGATATTCATCATTTTATATACAACGAATAGACACTCCTTCCATCATCCTATCGATCATGAGAGAAAGAACGAGAGAAAAAAAAAAAAGTTGTCCTCATTCATTGAATTTTGATAGTCCATTCAGTTCTAACCTACTCAACAGTCTATGCAAGTGAATGTATATATATATATATATGTATGTAAGGGTAGGCATTTTGATTCTTACGTTATTATTATTTTTTTTCTTAATCTAAACATAAAAATTCTGATTAATATGCTAGTCATTTGAAAAAGAAATAGGCTTTTATAAGAATATCAACGAGAACTACTCATGTTCTCATTTCACTTTTATGTTGAAGATGTCTATGGAGATATATATATATATATCTATACATAAAATGTCAAATTTGTACTGTGATGGTGAGTTATGTTATTTACAAACGGTTGATTGTCTTCCTCGTTTTCTTTTTTTTTTCGTTCCCTTTGGATGTTGTGCTTTCTTTGACCTACAATAGTTGCACATATACATACGTCAAAACACGTCAACGTTATACGATTTTGAGAATATTATACGGTTAGTATAGTGGTTTCAATGTGTTCTACGTTTCATCTGGGTCACTCTCTTAAAGTTAAGTGTTAAGGTGTCTCAATTGCTTTCTCTCGCTTTCTGTCTCTGTATATTCTTATATAGAGCGATAAAAAAAAGGTTCATGAATGTCTTAAATAAAATTTCAAAGAGAAAAAGAAAGTAATTTAAAATAGAAATAATTAAATGAAGTTCATAAAATAAAATGATCGTAATTGATACAAGATTATATTTTATATTCATTTGAAGTATTTTCAATGTAGTGATAAAAGCAATTTATATACGATGATAACAAATTTGTATGTGTTATATTGATATAAGAGTTCGATGTTTATTCCACATTACTGATCTATGTATGAATCAAGTGATTCTTTACAAATACGTGGGCAGATTTTTATTTGCGATATTCTTTTTTTTTTTTTTTCTTTATTGATGATTAATAAGGCTTATAAAAAATTCAACTGTGTATAAAAACCAAGATAAAGCTAAAATAATATCATAACAAAAACGATATTCGTCATTTCTTTTATTTTTTTTTGCTGACGTACTTTATTATTCATAGAACCTTTTAAAAACTATTTAAACTTTTTGGTAATATCAGACGATTATTTATTCTTATTTTTCAAAGAAAAGGAAAAAGGCACCAACTGTTGTTTTTTTTGTTCTCAACGATACGTTGTACTTGCATATATCTATTCGTTCTACTATTCATTTTTTCTTTGTTAGTACCGAAGTTTTGTTGGTATGTATACTTTTGAATTGAATATAATACTGCCGATGGAAAAAAAAGAAGAAATGCGAGAATGATTCGTCTTCCTTTTTTTTCTTTTTTCTTTCTAACGGCATTAAATAAGAAAAGGTGATGCTCTTCGTCTAATAGAAATATATAAAAATAGACACGAGAGCTTCTCATCATGATTCATATTTTTGTTCTAGAAACAGCTATTTATTTAAGTATAAATTGGTTTTTTTAGATCATATACATACTTTAAAGAAATTTATTTAAAAATGGGCCACGGTGGAATGAGTTGTGGAATGAAGACTATACGTTTAATTATGGTACTGTTTAATATTATCTTTTTTGTAAGTAATTTTTATTATGTTCTATTTTTTTTTTTTTAAATTTTTAATTATTATTTATATTTAGTTAATTGGTGCTGCACTACTTGCACTTGGTATTTATGTTATGGTTGATCCAAGATTTCAAAAACTTAAAGAATTTTTACCAATTAGTACAAGTAAATTTGTTCGAAATAATAAAAAAAAAAACAAACAAACAAATGTCTATATTGTTTTTTTTTTCAATTTTATTTAAGATCCTGGTATTGAAAAAGGTTTATCATATCTTGAAATAATGGCTATTGTTATTATTATATTGGGTTCTATTCTATTAATAATTGGATTTCTTGGTTGTTGTGGTGCAATGAAACAAGTAAAATTATTTCTTATATGTGTAAGTTTAATTTTAATTTTTTTTTTTATCTAATGTAATAAATTTATTTTATAATTAATTTAGTATGCAATTATTGTTGGACTTATTATCATTATTGAAATAGGTATAACAATTTATTTTGTTGTTTTTCAATCAAATTTTAAAAATCAATTTGTACCAAAATTACAACAATCATTAAAAACAACATATGAAGGACCACTTGGATTACTACCCAATAGTGATTTACCTAAACCATCACCTGTTTCATTAGCATGGGATTTTATTATGTATAATGTAAGTCATTTTCTTAGTTTGTTTTTTTTTTACAATTAAAAATATATATTTATCTATTTTAGTTTCAATGTTGTGGTGTTGAAAATAAATTAGATTTTATTGGAACAATAAAATGGAATCGTACAAATCCATGGTGGAATTCTTCATTACCATCTACAATGAAAGAATTTGTTTATCCATTAACATGTTGTCCTATTGGAAATCTTCGAGAAAATTGGAATAATTTACCTTTAGATCAATTACAACAAGCTGCTAATTGTGCTCTTAATGGAATTAATATATATGAAATAGTAAATTTATTTTTGTTTATAGATAATAATAATAATATTTAAATTCTTATTTTCTTAGGGTTGTTATAATAAATTAGTAGATTTACTTAATTCTGCTAAAACTTGGGTTATTGTCGGTGCTGTTATTGTTCTTGTTATTGAAGTAATTATTTTTTTATTTATTTAAAACATTGTTTTTTATTTTATTTTTTTTGTTTTAATATTTTCTAGTTACTTACTTTTATATTTACTTTGGCTTTATGTTGTCGTGAAAAGAAAGATACAATATATTATTCATCATAAATCTATTGACATATTTAACAAGAGAAAAAACAAACAAAACAAAACAGTGTTATCATCATTAGGCTTATTTCAAAACACATCTATTTTTTGTTGTTGATCGTTTTTTTTGGTTTTTTTCTGTTTTCTCATAAAATGTCCAGTTTAAATGAATGCAGATATATTTTTATTGTATGTATGTGTCCGTAGAAATTAATATGAATGAAAATTTTTATTATCTATTATTATGAATCGAAATTTCTATCAAATAATCATTTTGTGTCGTTTGTTTGCTATTGTACATTTTTAATTAAGTTGTTTTTTGTTTTTTTCTTCTTTTGAAATCGTTTTCCTAGATGTCTTATATACATATAACGTATAATGTGTTTTGCAGAAAAGAAAAAAAGCCTGAATTCAGTTTGTTTATTATCTTAATGACTTTTTGTTTTTTTTTTTTAATGCATGATTTTAAAAAAAAATAAATGAATGAATGAAAAAGTGATATAGATAACAAATTGAATATAATATTTTTTTTTTTGGTGCATGCGCTACTGGAGATATGTAAGTTAGAAATATTTGTCATAACAAAAAAAAATGAATTATAGATGTGTCTAATCTATGTTAAGAAGATTAGAGATTTTCGTAGGTTTTGTGAGGTTTCTCACATTAATAGAAAATTTACTGACGTCAAAAGTAATTTTAACTAGAAATCTAGAAGTAATATGGTATGGATTACTATATTTACTTTTAATACTAATAAATTGTATGTTGACCGTGATAACGAAAGAGAAAAATAATATTCTTGAAAGAAATTCGAGTTGATAAATCTACTTAGAATTAATTGTTCTTGAGAAAATCAATACATCTTTTTTAAACGATTCTTTTTTTTTTATTGCTTTCGTGATCGATCATAACTGATCTGATATTAAAAAAAAAAGAAAAAAAGTTTTACAAATACATGAATCTCTTTCAACATTGACGATAACAAGGGATAAGATCTTTGAAATTCATGAATTTCAGTACCGTTGATATTCTGAATGGATCTTTTTAAAAGAAATAATAATCTTTCTGACTAAGATTTATCATGTAAGAATCAAGATGTTTCGAATTTGCTTAAGTTTCTACACAATACTGAAAAAATTCTAACGAACAAACGCATACTACTGATTTTTTGTAGTGATATAATATTGAATTAAGTTATATACATAGTTATTGTTTGAAAGTATGTGATATTTGTTTAACATACAAATCTATTGTACTTATCAGAATATCTTTCATATACATTAGTTAACTTGAAAAAAAAATAGCTACCAAGTATATGAATTGATTTTATTTGACAAATGGACAACATAACAAAAACAAAAAGATCCTTGAATTCTATAAGAAGTTTTAGATTTTTTTGCAACGATCTCTATTAGTAACAGTTCTGCTACGTTAATTTTTATTGAAATGTTCATCATTTTTATGACAAATGTATCGATAAAAATATTTTATGAATATTTCATAGAATTTACGCTCATGTTGAAAAATTTTTTAGTAAAACTATATGCATTTAACATTAAGAAAAATCACAATATTGTCGTATCTTTACTAATATTATACGATATTTCTTTGATTTATGTATACTTATGCTTTATTTCTATAACAAATTATTATGGTGGAATACTATCAACGTCTCAATTCTATAGAAATTTCATCAGCAATGCGTATAGTCTTCATCTGTTAAGTCAATATTAAACTTTGTCAATATTTTATGCTTGTTCATCAATGTTTATTGTTGAATATTGATAAACATTTTGGCATACAACAAGGTTGATTTGCTTCTATGTTACAATCCAAGGTTTTTTTTTTGCATTCCCAGTATGAAAAATTTCACAATTTGTATATACTTTGCATTTCACCAAATATGACCATATTTTGATGTACATGCAATATGTCAATGTATGATGACTTACTGTCGTTAATAAGCATGTCTGTAAAATCTAAGTTGATTGATTCTTTTCTTTTGTAAATTTAACCTGTTCTATTGATCGATATTAATTTTCTTAAGTAAAATATAAACTTCATCTAGATCATGCCTTTTTCTTTATCGCACATTCAATGTCGTCCAATTTATATCAATATCGACTATTGACAGGGGTTCTTAAAAAATATGCTGCAATGCAATCTATTTACTCCTAGATAAAGAAATATGGGCAGATTTAGACAGGAAAAAATATCGGAAATCGATGAACACGGGAAACAACATTTAGGTTTGAAGAGCCTCAGGATTTTTCCATGTGGAAAGCGGCTCTTAAACCATGAGAAATAATCTGATTGTCTTCGGAATCATCGATCTAACCTGGTTTATTTTACTAATTTTTCATTGATTTTTCTAAAGACTTGAAATTATTCACATTGACGATGTTAGATTATGCTGCAATTCTTTCTGTTGGTTCATTCTTCTAACTTGTAAGGTCAGCTTTGATAAATAATCGAGTTCTTAAGTTTAGAGAAAAAAGTACTCTTGTTGACACAAATGGCCTGAACATACTCATTTTTGCAAGAGACACAAGCTTTTCAGTGATAGTCAACACTTTTATACAAATTGTAAAACATTAATAACATATATCACAAGCTCTACCAATTTTTCACTTATCGTTTTATTTTGTAGATTCAGTTTTATATAATGGAATTACTGTAAAAGAATTTCGCAATGTAAAATGTCAATTAAAATAGAAACTTGAATATTTAAAACATCGAAAACAAAACCTTCAAAGATTTCCTTTGATTTTATTTTCACTTAGCTAGTTTCATCTAAGTTATTTATTTGATTGTCTCAAGTGAGAAACAGTTGTTGTTTATCAATAAATGCTGCAGCTGGCGGCGAATGAAAATAAAGAAATTGTTGCGTTTCAACAATAGATTCATTCAAAATGATAATAAAGCGTGATAATTTTCTAAAGAGACTTTTTGTGTTATTACTTCGAACAAGTAAATGATGTGTTGTTGTTAAATCTTTCCCGATGTTTTCACTTCATTTTCATGGACTTCTAAAATACGCTGAAAAACTATTCAAGATTTTTCGAAATTTCAATTTTTCACCTCGAGTCTGTATAATCAACATAGTTTAATACATTCTATTCATATACTTTCGCATGTGTTTTTTTTTGTAAATAATTTTCTTGATGAACCATTGATCGAGAATGAACTGCTTCGAAGTGATGTAATCGACTCGAGACGATCTATTGTCATCTTTGCATCATGTTGTAATTCAAGAATAGGTTGTACTAATTATAATTAAACTGAATATCAGTAGTTTTTTTCTACATGAGAAATATTAGAAATGAAGAAAAGCGTATTCGAACTCTTACATTTAGAATCTGTTGTATATTGTATTGCACAGTAAAACATATTTGATATATTTTATCTGAGTGTATGATTATTAAGAGTCAAGAACGTTTTGTCTTTATGACAAGATTCGTAGCAAGAAAGATAAATATGAATATATTAATGAAAATATTTTATATATAATTTAATATAATGTTAACAATCATTATTTTATAGTGAATAAATTAAAATAATAGAGCTTTAGTTTTTCTCAATTTGGTTTCATGTATTCTATGTATATTGAACAGATCGTTTTTCAAATAGAATCCATAATTGTGAATCATTAATATATTATGGGTATATGTTTATTATTTGTTTATAAATTAGCAAAAATAAAATTTGTTTGATAATATTTCTTCGGTAAGAAAAAAAAAACAGAAAATAGTGATCGGAAGTGTATTGAATATTAGTAATTAAAGTTAAATTAGCTATGCCTTTGACTTATTCATTACATGCATGTATATAGTCAAATCTATTACTAATGTAATACGCGTTTTGCGTTTATACTGTTTACTATTCACAAAATAGATAAAATACGGCATAAACTTTAACCTTAATAAATCAATTGATTCACTTTGATAGTTTTACCTTGTTATAAACAAAGAATATTTATCAGCCAAGAAGGTATCAATAAAAAAAAAAAGTATGTTAAAGTGTGATTTGACTTTCAACAGATCTTTAACAAAAATCGATTAATTCTTATTTTAAGAATTACTTTGTCTTATGAAACCTTCAACAAAAAGAAGTATCAAATTGACTCATTGTTAATTTTCAACTAAACTAACTTTATCATAGATTAGACAAAATTCTTTTAGCTATAAAAAAAACAAAACTTTTGCAAGCATCAATTTTCTATTGAATTGTTATCAAAATTGGAAGTTTTTGTTACATTTTGACTTTTCAAGATTACGGAAGAAGAGTGTCACCCACTTGGAATACTCCTATGCTCGATTACGTTGAAATAGTCCATGTATATGTTCAAAAAAATACTTTTTTTTTCTCAAATTTATTGAATCACAAATAAATTCATATAAGATTTTTCTTCGTATTTATTATTAATATTAAGAATGATCAAACAAAAATAAAAAACCTAATGATTGATATTTTTTATTCATTTGTTTCGGTTTTTTTTTTGCAATGTTTATTTTTATATTACAAGTCTATGATGTCAGATGAAAACAAAAAAACATCTAATTGAAAATATCGTGATTTGTCTGATGAATAAAAATCTATTACTACATTCTCATTAATCATTTGATAAAAGAACACTTATTGAAAGTTACAAATAACTTCCTTACCTAATGATTCGTTGTAAAAAAAAAATCTTTCTTTCTCTCCTTTTCCACATATAGTAAAAAAAGTCAATAAATAACCATTTACGGGATTATTATTTTTTCTCTAAAATGTCATTCTACCTACGCACTTTTATAATATGTTCTTCGTTGATGTCGTCTATAATTTCGATCAACTTTTTGTTTTTTCTTTCTTCAAACGAAATTCAAAGGAAATAAGCAAAATAACTGAATCATTGAATTCTGATTTTACTTTAACAAAAACAAAGAAAGAGAATAAATAATACTACTAGTATAGCTTTTATTTATGCACAAAAGAGAAACAGTAGCCTTCAAACATCAAACGTTCTCTTCTTTTTTCTTTTTTTTCGTCCTCATCACGTCTCATGCATATAGCATCATAATTACACTTTAATATAATGTACATGCATACATAGATTTTTGTTTTTTAATGACATGAGAAGTTTTCTTAGGTATTTAAAATTTGAATATATTATATATTTTTATTTTTGATCATCTTATATAAGTTTATTGTTCAATGATATTATATTTTATTTTTATTCTTATTCTATCTGGTTCATGGTGTAGAGATATAAAAAAAATAATTGTACCAAAAGGTGAATCATTTTCATTTGATTGTCAACAAGATGAATCTGTTTATTTTGGTCGAAAATTACATGAATGGTCAGAAATACAAAATAATGATAATAGATATTCATCATTAAATTTGAATTTAAATTATATAAATGAAGAAAATGTTTTACGTATTACATCGAATTCTGCTGATTCACAAAATATTGGATATTATGGTTGTGGTAACGAAAATTCAGGAAGAAAAATGATGAATCGTGTTTATCAATTAATTTTAGCTGGTAAATAATATTTATTTCATAGATCTTAGAAAAAACAAAGAGAAATTATTTTAGATGTTGATTTATTCTATTGGAGTTATATATGTCATGGTCAACCTGGTTCATGTTTAACTTTTAATGATCTATTAGATGAAACTCAAAGTACATTTCAAGTTGCTGATCAAACTAATGTTGATTTATATTGTTGTGCATCTGTTATGGGTTATGATCATATAGATATTAAAATGAATCCAGTAGGAGAAAGTCGTGATGGAATTAAAATAAAACGAAAACAAGAACTTGATGGATCATGGGTTGTTTGTGCTACTCAACATACGTTTTTTAAACGAATATCTTCTAGATATACTGAAAAATTAACATGTGAATTAATAATTGCTAATCGAATATATTCATCATTAATAACTACTATTGAAATGAAAGGTAATTTAAAATTGAATGAAATAAGATAAAATTAATATATATATATATATTATTTTTTAGATGCTATGCCAGTTAATCCTGATTTTGATTCATCTAATAGTTCTCCATCACCTCCAAAACATGATGGAGATGATGATGATGAATATTTTACTGATGGAAAATCATCGAATGGTAGTAGACGAGGAAAATTAACGACCGGTGTGAGTTTTTTTTATTGCTTTTACAAAAAAGAAAAATTTCGAAATCATCTGTTTTTTTTTTAGGAAAACAAATTGGTATTATTATTGGTTCTGTTATTGGCAGTCTTTTCTTTTTTGGATTATTGTTTTTTTTAATTTTTTTTCTTTGTCATAAAAATAAAGGTATAAATATATATATTTTTTTTGAAAAATTTTCTTATAAAATTAACTATTATTCTTTATTATAGCTTTAAAAAAGTAAGTTTAATTATTCATTATTATTTTGTCAAGGTTATATATTATTGTTATGTTTATTTTTATTTATCAAGTTCTCAAATAAATAGTATGTATTATATTTTGATTGTTTAAAATCTATATATATGCCTTTTTATTATAGAATCCAATGAATATTCAATAGTTCGTACACATGAAAAATCAAATAAAAAAGAAAAACAAAATTCAAAAGGTATATATTTAACTTTTGTTTTTAAAAATAATAAATGATTTTTATTGTTATAAATTATTTTTAGAAGAAGAATCTATTTATATCGAACCAACACCATTATATGAAAATACACCTATCTTTCTACGACTCTAACAATAAATATTAGATTCTACTTTTTTTTTTCTTTTTCTCTTTTTTGTCTTTCATAAAAAACTAATCTTTTGTTTGATTCTTCTTCATATGATACACATACATATTGATTGAAACAGTATAATGTGTATAGATAAGAAGTTGTGAGAAATTTGAAGAATAACTTTTTAATTTTTCTTAAAATTTTAGTGTAGTGCACACACCGATTAACGCATATATTCATCTCACACAAAGCTTATTTTTGTTTTTTTTTTTAATAATGTATTACATATGGTTGTGTAACGCAAAAAACAAATTTTAAATACATATCATGCTTTATATATAATCGAGCAAAAATATAAACAAGATTTTATTCGATGTCTTTATTGGCAATTTTCATTTTGAAATTATTTTTATTTGATAGTTGATTATTCAAAGTTAAATTTGTTTTTCTTTTTCTATTATAATGCAATTTTTCCATGATTGACTTCAAGTCGTTTAAATATTAAAGATAAATCAATAAGGTTTCAAACTAATATATGCAAGTCAATTTTCTTGATGTCAAGAATTACTATTTTGAGATTACTTATAGAAATCACTCAAATGGTTAATCATATTTTTTTTCTATGACATATAGTGAGGCATGAACTCATCGAGGCGGATATCCTTCCTGCTTTGGAAGATTTGACGAGAGCTTTTTCTTATTTTTGATTAACTATTAGAGCTCTATTTTATCCGAAATTTGTAGACTGTTTCTTTCGTTGGGTTTATAAGATTTGAATTCTACCTTCTTTCAGCTTTTCTACCAATGATAGCTGCTCTCGGAAATCTCGATTAATAAACATGACAAGCGTCAAAAGGTTATAGAGAATGTCATTACAAATGTAGATCTGATCTCACAAAAGATGCGATGACTCGAATCTTCCAACATAAATTAAATCTCTTTCAATCTCGGCAGTAAAATGAACTAGTTTATTTTTCAAAAATTCGATACAAGTGTAAGAATGTCTAATTAAAATCTGCTGATCATCGCTATGGACAAAAATTGTCACGAACGTGGTGCAAAACAGAACTTTTCAGGAGTCTATACTGATATTTTCTATGTAACAAACAGTTTTGTATTCTATGTAAATCTATGAACTTGTCTCAATAGTTTGACTCTTATATTCAATTAACTGGAAAGTTATCTCATTTGTGAAAGATAATTGAATTTCTTGAAAAGTTATCAATTATATTCTAACATTAAGGAGAACAGTGGTGCAATAGTTGATACATAAATATACTTACTAGAATAATAAATGCATTTTCAATTAAAAAACCAATTACAATTCTTATATTTGATTATACAGATACTTCTTTTAGACTTTCTTAAAATCAGATTATTGATTTAGTAAAGACTTCAATAAGAAGCTTGGAAAATCAATTACCATATTGAAAACGTTGTTGATATAATAATTATAATTGAAAGCAAAATTTATTTGTGATCGCTTTTTGCTGTTCTCACATGATTTTAAACAAATTATGTGTTTTGAAACACATTCTTCTGCTCTGATTTCATCTCATCACCATTATATTTGATATTTACTTTAAATAAAATTTAGGTTGATCTTTCAGAAACGTTTAAGAACATCTTTGAAATTCTTGATTTTTTTGTTTTTTCATTATTTTATATGTATTTATTTCGTACAAATAACTATTAGATGTACAGAAAGGAAAAAAAAATAGTAGTACGCGTCTATCTATATAAATAAATGTTTCGTATTATGAAAATTGATTATGCATTCTAATTAAAATGTTCAGAAATTCTTGATCTTATTTTTTTAATACTTTTTTTGATACGTTCAATAATTTCTTTAAATTTTTCTCCAATATAAGCAACATATCGTTTAAATTCATCACGTAAATTTTGAAAAAATCCATTATTAATATCAGTACTGGTCACTTCATCAATAGATCCTATATCAGTTGGTAATGTTGATCTAGGTGCTAAAGAAATAATAATAGAAAAAAAAACAATGATTTCTATTTTATTTCAAACTATTGACATACCAAGACTTTGACAAACATCACATTGTTCCATAGTAATAATACCTTCATTTAGAATGAAACACCATGGACCATTAATATTCATATTTGGATTACGACAATAATTTTTAGCTGATTTAATTGATGCATCATTAAAAAAATTTGGTTCATTGATAACATCAGTAAAAACTGTTTGTAAATCATTCCATGGTAAACATTCATGTTCAAATTTTGTAAATGAATGTTTACCATGATAAAGAAGAATTCCATCTTCAGTTATAATACAATCTATTTGATAGAAATAGAATAAAAAATTTTCAAAATCATATTTATTTTATTGTTATTTTACCTGAAACATTTCTAGCAATGATCGGTTTACCAGTAAGACTATGAATGATAGTTATAAATGTAAGTAAATGTAGAAGCATTGTTGGATGTTTTTTGTTTTTTTTTTGTATATAAGAAAAAAATATGTATCGATGGAAGCTATTTATATATGTATATCTGTACGGGATAAGACCATATGATAGCACAAGAGAAAAAAATAAGTACGCAATAGATTAGAGAAAGGAAAAGTCTAGCGAATTTATTCATCAGCATATTTCATACATTCTCTTATACTTTTGCTCAAATAGTTTTTAGAAAAAAAAAAACATCGTCTTTATAAAATCAAATTCCTTTCTCTATGAAAAGTTTGAAATAATTATCTTGAATGAATTACTTCTAAACAATATAGAAAATATATTTCGCATTATAACATAGATGTCACTAGTAAACAATCTTATTAATTCTAAAATTTTGAAATTAGATTTCTAAAATAAAATAATATTAATAATAATTTTTATAGATTATTCTTAAAATCAAACAAAATACTATTTTCTATAACTTTATTATAATAGGTTAGTCAATTTTTTACATTTCATATGAGTCATGTTGTTCATCATCTGTGACTTATGTGACGTTTACAATAAAATATCTATTCTCGATTCCTGATAAGTTTCACAAAAACTTAAAACAAAAGAACAATTATCTATTTAATGTTTTTCTTTAATGAATTTCTGTTTCTATTATGAACCGTTCATTCGGTAATAATTTATATTCATCAACAAATTCACGAATGTCAGCACCAGTAACCGATTGGGAAGATTTACGTAAACAAGCACGTCAACTTGAAAATGAAATTGATACAAAATTAATGTCATTTTCAAAATTATGTTCAAATTATGTTGCACGTGATCATTTAACAAATCATCATAATATTGATTCTCCAACAACATCAACATCATCATCATTTGAAACAATGTCTATTGAAATTGAAAAACTTCTTGAACGTTTATCTGATATAAATAAATGTATGACTGATGCTATACCAACATTACTTGGACCAAATACAGCTGCAACACATACATTACAACGTCATCATGAAATATGTCAAGATTATCGACGTGAATTTGAACGTACAAAAGCTAATATAAGAAATTTTCAAACTCGTGAAGATTTATTAATAAATAATAATAATACAGATTTGAATTCTCAAGGTTTAAGTAGTCGTCGACAAGATTATTATTTACGTGAAATGACACATTTAAATAATTCAAATAAATTAATGGATAGAAATTTAGAAATGGCATCATTATTAAAAAAAGATTTATCTGATCAACGAAAATATTTTATGAATATAACACATAAAATAAAAACTATAACAAATCGTTTTCCATTAATGAATAATATATTACATAAAATTAAAATTAAAAAACGTAAAGATTCACTTGTAATCGGTTTTGTCATTGCACTATGTCTTATTCTTATTCTTCTTTATTTATTTCGATAGAGATACAAAATAAAAATAAAAAAAAAAAAAAAGCATAGACAGGAACATATTTTCGTTTTTTTTTTTGTTTTTTTCTTTTATCAATTTTTTTCTTCTTCTGTATTCTTAATAAAAACAAAGCAAAGAAAAATATAAAGTTAAAAAAATTTTTTTTTTGTTTTTGTTTTGAAATATATTTTTACTCTTTTAGATATGGATAAAGAATATCGTCATCCTTTATTATATAAAAATTCTTCTATAACTTTATTTGAAAGTTATATTGCTATTGAAAAATTTATTATTGATACACATTTATCATTTATTGATCAATATAAATTATTTGATTTATTAAAAAAATTATTACCACATGAAGATAATCAATTAACATGTCAAGGTTTTCTTTCATGGCTTGTTTGGCGTGTTGATCAACATGAAGAACAACAACAACAAAGACAATCTGTAATAGATAAAAGATTATATCATGAGAGAATGATATCGGAGAATGTACAGGCTAATAAAAGATTAAAAACAAGTAAGAATAATAGATAGATTGTTTGTTTTTTGTTTTGTTTTTTGAATAAATGTTTAAACGATAGAATATTGTTTAATATCATTAATATTTTTGATTACGAAAAATAAATATGCATTGTTTTTTTTTAACAATAAATACTTAAGATTATTTTACCTATTCATTGGAACTTTCTATTTGATAAGATGTTCGAAGATGAAAACAAAATTTTTTCGAATATCTTATTTTTCTTTTATAATGTTCTTGATTTTTGTACGAATAGTATTTAGAGAAACTGCTTATGTAGTTTATAATGTAAAATATTATATTAAGATTTTTGATAGGTTCATTTCAATGCTAACCAGAGAGAAGATGAAAATGCAAGAAGGAGATAAGGAAAAAACTTGATCTATTTTACGTTGGTTTTCTTCGAATACACTTAGTATATGTTATATATCATCGATAATGAGTTGTGATAGCTGCTGAATTTTATTAGGAATCTACTGAGAGCTTTGAATTATAAAATATTTGCTTTCAAAAGATTTGTTTAGTATATATTAATTCATATTTCAAAAAATTTTCTTATTTTGAATTTTCATAGGACTTGTTATTTTTTTTTCTAATACGATATTGAAAATACAATTTAGATGGAACATCTCAAGTAGTAGAACCATATAATGATGCTTGTTTAGTCCAATATACTCAGCATCAATTAGAACATAATATTAACGAATCATCAGGTTTAATTAAAATAATTTTTATACTTTCATTTAATTATATTTTATTAAATATCTAGATATACAACAACAAATAGATCGTTTGCAATCTATTGTTCTTCGTCTTGCATCGAATATTGACATTCTTAATCGTCAATCTGATATTCCTAATTCTTCGCCTGTATATTTTGAACCAACTATAAAACATGAGCAAATAGAAGATGTAAAATATAAATAAATATATATATTTTATTGTGAAAAAAAAAAAAGTTTTTTTATGAACTATTTTTTTTAAGAATGAACCTTCAGAACTTGAAATCGAAGAAGATCATGAAGACGAAACATCAGATGTTAATCATCGTTTAGATTTTCCTGCTAGTACATCAACAAATTTAACTTATTCAATACATCCAATGCCAACAAAAACTATTGTAAGAAAATATTTTTATTTATAAAAATATCATACAAATATTAAATTAATTTTAATAGATGTATGAAGGACGAAATATGATGAAACATCTTCGACCACGAACAACTTTAACAAGTTTTGCACGTCATGTTGCTAGTGATCTTTTTTCTCGTGAAGAAATTATGGCTAAATTACATGTTGATCATAATAATGAACGCGATATTTTTCTTCGACGTAAGAATAATTTTTTGTTTTTGTCAAATATGATCTAGAAGAAGGATTGAGATATAGAGATAAAAATTTGATCTTTTCAAAAGACCATATATCAATAATGTTTCATTCTAATATATAAACTATTTTCTTATTATATTTCTACAGAATTAAAAAAATGTACGACAGTATATCGTTTTTTTCTTTGTTCAATAATCAATAGAATAAATCAATTTTTCTATACTCTAATTAAATTAGTTTATTTTTTTTTTGTTTTTATTAGATTGTATTTGTACAGCATGGAATTTAACTGAACAAGAACTTTATTTAATGTGGCCAAAAATTCGTAATGCTTTATTACAACTTCGTCGTGATGCTATTGCTGGTAAATGTATTCGAATGAATAACAAACGAAAACAACAAGAACAAGATTCGAATCCTAATCAATGCAATAGTGAATATGAAGATGACGAAAGTCAAAATAAGTCCGATTTATGTAGATAGTTTATAGTGAAATCAAAAGAAAAAAAACAAACCCACAAAATTTTACAAATAAATATATATATTATTGTATACCTTTTTCTTATATTGTTTTGATTTTAGATAAATAAATAAATAAATAAATAAATAATGCGTTTATCATGGATTTTAAATGCAGCTAAAAGTGGACGACAATTACTTGTCAATTGTGAATCACAAGCAACAGGTCATCGAATAATGCGTATACGTGATAGAACACAAGAGAAATTAGAATTTCTACATATTGATCCATGGATGGATCAAGAAGTTTTATATAAAGAGACACGAAAAATTAAAACATTAGAAAAACGAAAAATGCGAGAAATACATCTTAGTCGATTAACATAATATTTTTATTGAATGTTTTTAAATAAAGAAAAATAAATGTAGATTAAATTTAAATGATATTTTATAGAAATAGTTCAAATCAATAAACATTACGATAATATATCAATTATTTTTCAATGATAAAGTTCTCATTTTATTCATTTCGCTATCTAGTTTCTTTATTCTTCTTATAATAATGATTGAAACTCTCTTTATATCTGAACAACATTCAATTATTGATAATCAATTATATATTCGACTATAAATATATTAGAAACGATATTCAATTAATAAAATTTCTTGTTGTAATAGCCATCTTTTTTTTTTAAGATGAAAAAAGAAAACTCATTAATAATGTTTGTTGATTAGATGAATCTGAATGAAAAAGAATTTTATTAATGCTATTTTTATGGAACTGGCATATTTGATGAAGGAAAATAGTGATTATAAATTGTAAGACAATGTTGCTGTCTCTCTCATTGTAAGGATGGTATACTTCAATGATTTTAATACCATTGATTGTCATAGCAACACTGATAAAAAAATGCACAACAGGCTTTAGCAACTGAAATTAAAGGTCAATGGGTACGCTTCTATTACAATCAAGAATAACAGGCAACAGAACCTTTTTCTATCGTTTCTTAACAATAGAAGAAAGACGCTAAGAAGTATGAAAAACAATAAGACAGATGATTCAAGAATATTGCAAAGTCTTCCGTGAAATGTCAATGAGTGGAATATATTTTGAAACAGTGTAATTTCTCATTTTTTGTTCAAAAAAAAACCAATCTTATGATGGGTAGCGATGTTTTGATTTACTAGAGTCATTATATGATTAAATTAGAACAAGAAGAATAATTTAAGAAAAACGTAATACATGGAAATATCGATATGGCAACCAAACAAACAACAGCAAAAAAAAAGATTGTGCTTGCAAAACAGAAACAAATAAAGCAGATCATTTGTTTGACAGCCGATTATTTATGGAAAGAAGTTATCAATTTATTAAAGATTTTTCAATTAACCTATTTTTTATTAGTATAATAAAGCTGGCTAAAAAAAGATATATGAGTTCTACATTTTAACCCCAAAGGAATTACACTGAGAAGTGTTTCTTTTTTCAGAAGAAAAATGAGTTATAATAAACGATTAATTTCATAAGATCACCAATATATTGATTGATAAATAGCATTACATCAGTTTAATATAAATACTTACTTTATTCGATCAAATGTTATCAATATGATTAGAGAATCAAGTGCAAGAGAAAATATCTGTTGTATTTTCAACGTAAACAAAAATAAATTATAAGTTGATTATTTTCATACTTTTGTCATTTTGTTATCTATTATCAGCAAAATCAATAAGATGTCATCGTTGAAATCGAATATCTCATTTAACTCATCATTTTTATGATGATCGATATCAATAATTTAAAATTTTTTGTACAAAAAAGTTGATTATTTTGGTTTCATTAATATTTAAACAAAAACATAAATTAATGCATTGAGGAAAAACTCATCTACATCATCAAGATTACCATTTTTTGATATCGTTATGAATAGATATAGAGCATCAAGATTTCGAAAATATTCTTTGTTTTCTTAAAAATAATCTCATCCTCAAAGGATTAATTAATAAAGATTTGAATATGATATTTTATGATTAGATGAAATGAATCTTTTCTATGATAATATCGATTTCAGTCAGTTAAGTATGTTTGTTATTCTTTTGTTTTTGATCTATTTAACGTAAAATATTGCTCGAATTGTTAATGCAAACGTTGTATTTATTGAGCATCGTTGTTATGGCAACTTATTAAAATATGAGAATAAATCTTATTCAAAAACAGTGTTGTTAATTTCACGTTTGTTTACTAGACAATGTTCATTAAAAAAAAATGAGAATATGATTATCACGGACTTGGTCAAAAGTAATTATGACGAAAATTATAGTTTATGGAAGTAAGAATCCTTATCAATCTCATCGTCACTCTTACATCTTTACCTGCATCCCTCATCTCTGCTTTCGATCAAATTAAAGTTCATCTTACTATCATCCTTTCTCTAGTCAATTTGTCAGGACAAAGGGATTTGAGTTGGATACCATAATCAATGCTTGTATATTACATAAATTCAATCAACTATTTCATATCAAAATCATATTTTGAAAATTTTCAATCTGAACCAAAGAAAGTATGCTCAATGAAAAACTAAAGTCATATATCTAACTTAATAGAATGATTGAAAATTATTTTTCAATCACAAACTTTACGTCTATGCTATCTTGCAAATGTGAGAATGCGAAGATTGTAAAACATCTTTTCAATCTTAGAGAAAAAAAATCTAGACAGAATAATACGTATAATCACATATTTCAATAGAAAAATAAACAAGACAATCAGAAAATAAAACCATGGCAGATGTCGAATTGTATGGGAGAGACTGATATACTTTTAATGAAAAAATTTTTTGACAAAAATTGGATTGAAGTATTGTAGAAGTCACTCTTCTCAATTTCGCTTTTTCTACAGCTGCTCATTCATTAAAACGTTCTCAGTCTGCTACTATCAACTCTTTGCATTACATCAGCAACGTCAAATAATCAAACTCAGGAGAATATCAAAGACAAAATCACATTCATCCATATATATATCGTTATATTCAACAGCAAATTGATAACACCTGATTGGTTTTTCAGTCATGTTTCATTTACGAAAGAAGTTTACACAAGAATTAGTGTTCAAATAGAGACAATTACATGTGTTTAGGAAACAATATTTAATTAGTATCAGCACTGTTCCATCATGCAATACTTTTTTAATGTCTTCAATATGCAGTTCATTACGCTAAATATTCTATTTAAGAGAAATGAAAACTAATATCGTCAAATGCAGGAAAAAGCAACCATTTAGATTAGGTAGAAGCCATGAAAGAAGACGTCTTATTTAAGAGAGAATAATTTATAAAAGGAAAGCTCTTGCTACTTACAACTACAATGAAAATACTGTTTCGTCAATTCAACCCATAGATTAGTTTGAAGATTTATCAAAGTCAAAGCTGTCGCACAAAGGAGTATCAACAGTAATGGAGTGTTTGGTCGAAAATAGCTGTTTTCTCTCTTCGAACAATCATAAATTTTTTTTTATACCAACAAAAAGAATAATATCAGAAATGAAAAGCAACAATAAAATAGAAGTTTCTAGAAACTGTCAAATTCAGTTGGATACAAATTGGTTTCAGCATGTGTCAACTGATTCTCTTCGTAGGTTTCATAGTGATCTTTATCAGCTTCTGGTACATAAGGTGCTTTGATACGCTTTTTAAATAGATCAATCCAATCGATCGAAGAAAACCATGGATGATTTTTTATATCATTTACACCGTTCCGTAAATTACCATAACGCTTCGCTGGATGACAATGAAGCAATTTATGTATTAAATCTATGAGATCAGATGAAAAGTGTTCTGGAATGTTGAATGTACCTCGAAGAATGTTTGTATAGATTTTCATTGGATCTTCATCTTGAAATGGAGAAAAACCCTATTTGAATAAAATAAATAATATAAATGAATTTAAAATTTACAAGAGTTTTCATTCACCGCTGCTAGTTCGTAGATTAAGATGCCCAGTGCCCAATAGTCGATACTTTTATTATAACCTCTACCCATGATAATCTCAGGTGCTAAATACTACAATGAAAATACCAAACAAAAGCCTCATAGAGATAAAAGACTAACGCTTAGTAACATAAGCTACCTCGGGTGTTCCACATAGTGTGAATGTTCGATCATGCACAACTTTAGCCAAGCCAAAATCAGTTAGTTTCAAGTAGCCATCAACTGACAATAGGATTTCTTCTACTTTCAAGTTTCTATAGATGATATCTATGAATGACGAACAAAATTGGCTGAAAAAATAAGTCAAGAACTTCGGCTCACTCAAATAGTGTAAATATTCCAAAATAAGTACAATTTGTGCAGTATAAAATCGTACTTGATCTTCCGGAAATTTTTCCACACGCCTACATGAATTAATTATGCAAAGAATTTGAACTTCTATTGATTCTCTCTTTGTCATCGGTGACTGATCGAAAGGCTCACCTAAAATAAACGAACATTTCACCTCCACTGGCAAATTCAAGTGCCAAATATAGATGAGCATTATCTTTGAATGAATACACTAAACTGACAATAAATGGAAAATTGATTGCTTGTAAGATACGTTTTTCGGATAGAATATGCTCGACTTGGCCAAGTTCAACAATGCTTTGTTTTTCCATGATTTTTAATGCCAATGTTTTATTTTCATATTTTGCTAACATGACACGACCAAACACTCCCATACCAATGGTTCGTTCCAACTGAAAGTCTTCTAACTTGATAATTTGTTTCGATGATTGTGTGTATTTAGCTTCGAATTCTTGTTTAGCACGTTCTAGATAAACATTTATTTCATTGTCATTTCTTGTGTGATTTTCAGTTTGATTTTGTTGTGGCTCAGTCGTTGGTAACTCCACTGATGATGATGTAGAACAGTTTCCCATTTCAATCTGTTGCTACAAAGATATATGAAAAGAACAGAACAAAGGAATATTAATTTTCTATTGATCAATAAATTCGATAGGCACGTAGATACGTATAATTTCTATTTCCAAAACTTTCTATCTGTGTTCAATCGTTTCTAGGACATGAAATTTCGGTCATATGACTTCGCTTCTTATCACTCAAAAGAACCGAGACATATTGATTATCTTTATTAATTATATTTGTACGAATATCTGATCAAGTCTTATATAATGTCATTCGAAGGGTGTGGATGTGACGGCGAAGCACTCCTACTCGCACTCGTAATCTTTTTAGAGGTTAAAAAAAAATAAATAAAATAACAAAGAAAGATTTCTTTTGCAAAAACCAAATCTTATTTCCTCTCGATAGTTCACATAATATTATGGAATTATAGATTCGGAAAAATAAATAGAGGAATTTTTCTACATGTACTTTTTCATGTATCATACTCATTTTAGAACAATATTACATACTGAAGTGTTATTGATTATGAGAAAGAACGTTAACTAACATATCCCATTTTATACTAGGCAATGGTCTATGTGCCTATTGCAGGAAAAATTTTTCTAGATTTTATTAATTTATTTTTATTATTATATATTTTATGGAGTAAAAATAAAATAGTATTCCTATTTTTGAGTTTTCTGAAATTTATGAAAATTTGTGTTTTTAGTTTCTGGAAACAAAAACTGGATAGAGACACTCATATCCACGATTTATAACTTAAGGTCAATAATAAATCAGTTCCACAGCAGTTTTTTTTTAATGAGATCAATCCAAGAACTTTGAAGTAATTAGACAATAGGCAATGCAAAACAATCTAAAATATGATCTTTTTTTACCTGTAAAATGAGCGACCCGTATGGCAATACGTAGACTGAAAACGTGTGCGTTTCTTGACAAATAAATAATCGACTACCGAATAAGTAGTCTCCTTCATCATCTTCAAGTTAAAAGAAGGAATGAGTAGTGAAGCAACAGCGCTGTTTTCTTTCTTTCCTTGTTTTTTTTGTCATTCTTCATATATTTTCTTTGTATTCTGCTACTATGGAACTTTTTCTCTAATTATTTCTTTTCTCTCACGGTACCAATGAAAAAGCGTTGTCCATGCTGTGCATCATGATCACACAAAATATTGCAAGTATTTAAGTTATCTATTTCCGAAACATGAGGATGTAGATGAAGAGAAGACTCACACCCACATCTTTTTTTTATTCTTATTCTGAGCCTCACACATCCACCACAATTCCAATCCATACGACAAGGTGATCCTGAAACGTGATGTAATCGACAGACGCGCCTAAATGCTTCTTGGCGAAGCGCATACGATGCAGACGTAGGTGTTAGCGTATGTGTGCATGCATATTATGAAAGAGCTCACATCGACATTTACACCTCCATATGTCAGTGGTTATGAGGCATCTGTTCCAGCATAAGCGATGACAGACTCTGAATGTCGCGTGATCCTTTTTTCTTTATTGTTGCTAATGATTTAATAAGTTCTAGGTAGGTCACCTCCAAAATTGGATCAGATGCATTATCGGACAGAACCGAAGGTAGTGTCCTGCGGGAACGACTTTTTCTGATTCCCATTCCCTATTCCCATTCCCTAAAAAAAAATTTTTGTTCCCATTCCCTTTTTCCCATTCCCTAAAAATTTTCTTTTGTTCCCATTCCCTTTTTCCCATTCCCTAAAATTTTTTTTTTGTTCCCATTCCCACGTTCCCATTCCCATAATTCCCATAAGGTTTTCCAAGGCTCTATTCATCTATGCGAAAGTGTCATTGGCATATATGTATACCAGTTTCTCGAGACATCATGTTTTGTGCATCGCGACGTTGTTACATAGTGTTTCACTTCTTTTCTTTTCCTGTTTTGTTGCTCTTGTTGGCATTGGTTAAGCAGGTGTTCCTTCGTATATGCACTATACATATACATTCAAGCTGGTGTCCCTTTTCATTAAAAAAGTGTTCCACCGTCTAATTAGAAAATGTATAGTCAACCTAGTGTTCATCATATAGAATGTTCCTCTTATAGTAAAGTGTTCCCCTCCCCTCACCCAAATAGAAAATTAAAAAAGTTATAAATAAATATTGAGATTATTATTGATAAATCATTTGTTTTTTGTTGTAAATAACCTTAATATTTATTTATAATTTTTTTTATTTTCTATTTGGGAGAAGGGAGGGAAACACTTTACCGTAAGAGGAATATTCTCCCTATATGATGAACACTATGTTGACTATACATTTTCTTATTAGACGATGGAACACTTTTTTAATGAAAAGGAACACCAGCTTGCATGTATAGTGCATACACGAAGGAACACCTGCTTAACCAATGCCAATATTTGTGATGATTAAATTACGATGTGGTTAAGAACCAATAAGCAGTCTATTTTTTGCTGATACACATTTGTTCTTTTTCTGTTAATTGTATATGAGTAAGAAAAGTTATTGAAAATAAACAGTTATCAGATAGAAATATTTTTATGTGTATTGAAATAAGATAGAAAGAATTTTGGGAACGTCAATTTTTAATTCTGTTCCCATTCCCATATTCCCATTCCCTAAGTCTAAATGAGAATTCCCATTCCCATGTTCCCATTCCCTAAGTCTAAATGGGAATTCCCATTCCCATGGGAATGGGAATGGGAATGGGAAAATTAGGGAAAAAAGTCGTTCCCGCAGGACACTAACCGAAGGCCATTCAGCGTACAGAGAACGACGAACTATCACAGATGCTTCAAAAATAGCTCATAGTGGCCGGCGGTTAAATCGGTCATATTCTGAGAATCCTTGATTGACTCATCTGTATAGATAGGAATAGCACCCAACGAAGAATCTACCACACGACTGTATCATTGAGTTTTGTTCCAGAATAGCTTTCAATATTCACCAAGTTTATTTCTCTGTCAAATGTTCGTACAACTGTTCCTGCTAGAGTCTCTTGAGTACAAAGCGCGTATGATTTTGGGGTGACCGTCCTTTTGATGCAGTGCCATAATTCATTCACACCCGCATTTGTGATTCGTTTCATATTATTCTCTGTAAATACATTGAAAACTCTTATCGTCTAATTAAGTCAGACCAACAAGAATCGAAGAACTAATTATACGATTATATGTCTCTTTAGTAATACATGCTATTGCACTTATCAAAAATTACGAGGTGAATTGATATTAAAACAATAGACAGAAAATTAATGGCTTCTAGAGGTATTCAATTTTTTACTTAGGTGGAACTGTTTTCTTCCTTAAATAAATCAAATGTAGCAGAAAATCAACCTTTTCTTGGAGCAAAAAAATTATATAATCATTAGCATAAGAAAGACGAATGAACTAACGAAAATTAATATAAAAAAGAATTAACATCATGCAGCATGCAATGAAAGTATATGATCTAATACATTGTTTTGTGTTCGTTGCGACAAAAGATATTTGGAAACTTGATAAAATTGCAGTTTTTCTAGATTCGAGTCCAAATATCATCTGAAAAATAAATAGAATCTACGTATATTTTTCATTTTTGTTTATTCGTATAATGATCCGCATTCGAACTAATATTTAGTAACTAGCTAAATAAAACAATCAAAATCGAATACGAAATCTAGTTCATCGATTTGGAGGTCCAATATGTAATCTGTAGACGAACACGGTCAATTATGTATTCATTTCCTGAATTCTACTCCCGAAAATATCCTTTCGATCAAACAAATTATCGATTGATTCAACAAGGAATACAATCGACAGTTAAAGTTCGAATGATTCATTCATAGATGGAAAAAGCTACCAGACTAAGGAAAACTTTATGACAAGTTTTCTTTTAAATAAAACTCGATTGGAAACCACCTCGCACACACCGCAGCTTAGTCGAAAATAAAAACTAATCGCTCTAAATCATTGTATCTTTCCAAAAATCGAATCCGTTTGAACATTAGATTATGGAGTCTTTATTTATTCAGTCTTCTGCCTATTCTGGAAATGTTTCATGAATAACAATTGTAATACAGTTCTGATTTTTCTATTGAAAGGAGAGAAGAAGACCTGCAATATATTTGTAGTTTATAACGGTTTTTGATGCATTTAGCTCAAAGATAGTCTTCGTACGTGATATTCTTTGACGCAGAATGATGATGAGGATGTGTGAGTATTTTAAAATAAAAAATCATCATCTCCACGCGTTCTCAGACGTTTAACGCACAGAAAGTATGAATTGAAGCTAAGAGCAGAGCTAGATTCTGACAACAAGAACAATTTACATTAAATATAATACATTTACATATCTGAAACTAATCTGTGAACGTTCAAAACGCTTGTAACAAGCATCCTGAAATATGTAGTAATTTTATATGTATATGTATATGTCAAATCAGGTATGAAACGAACTAATTTCGATTATTCACTTACACTAAGCATAGTTTGTAGAACATGATCGAGAACTATCAGCAATTGTTGCATCAGGTTCGAAAATACTCAAATGAATGAACAATATATCTAGATTGAAATGCACCAACAGTTTCTACCGATTTCGATGAATTGTTGGTTTCTTTCGTATCAAATTTAATATTTTGTAAGTGCTGTTGGATTTTTACTTTACCTACTTCAGGTGCTTCACATTTCGTTAACATATGATGAAGTCAACTCTAGAAAGAAAATGAACAATCGAGAGATTCAAAGGAACGCCATCACCAGAAATAAGCTAGAACTAATATTTATGTATCAACGATAAATGAGGCAAGAAAGATACATGAATATCCCAGGCAAATACGAAACTTGAAACACCTTGTCCATTAGCGGGAAATTGTCAGAAACTCATAATAATCAGAAATGCGAAAGAGTGGCACATGCATTGGCATGCGTGTGCCAACTGCATGGATGCAATTTCAATATTTTAACTTTTTACGTGAACTAGGCTATAGATGATGCATCACCCGTATTCTTGCAAAAAAATCCATCATGATTAGAACTTATGAGGAAGGTCCCCCAAGTGATCAATCGCTTTTTCGTGGAAACATACATGACTGTATGCAGTTTGTTGTGCTGATTCCGAATATCAGAGTCTTAGCGATTCTTAGGCATTCATCTATCCCATACCATAAGTATAAAAGTCCCTCTGGTAACGATATTTTTGATCAAATTCGATTTCCAAGCAGTCTACCATGCATTATTAGACAAAATAAGCACAAGGATACGTTTTTCCAAGAATTTCAATCTTAAGTTCCAAATTCTAAGATGCATTAAAAGATAGAAAAAGACTATAGGCAAAAGTATTCTTCACAGCTCATCTTTGTCACATAAAAAAAGGATGAAGAATTGTTTTTTTTTATGTGTTGCACTGTATTAAGTGAATTTAACTTTCTAGTTGTGTTAGAAATGTATTCGCACTGTGTTAAAGTTTATATTATAGGAAATTAGCATGCATGTGCTCATATCAAATATATATTATTTCATATGTGCCTTTTTTCTATTTCTTCCATTATTAAATACTTTGTGAAAAGTAATACATAAACGAAAAAAAAAGTCAGATGGCTGTTTGTACTCAATATACCAACTACTTCGCTAGTTTATAGCCTGTTACTTGAAAATTAAGGTGAAAGTGCCTGGAAAAAAATATTTCTGTGTATATCTTGTCTAATAATACATGGTAGACTGCTTGAGGGTGTGGGTGTGTATGGGTGTTGATGAGCAGAAGAACAGGAAGCACACCCACACCCAAATTTCAAAGCATGAATTTCTTTGAAAATATGAAACTGATATGTAACTATCATCGCAGTCATCTTTTTGACTTGTCTTGTATGTTTGTAGGTTTGATTTTAGAAAGAGATATTGTAGAGGCGAAAACTCTATTAAAAAGAATTGAATTTTGACAAAAAAATGTAATAAGAAAAGAGAAGAAATAGTATTGTGGTTCAATGTTTACGTATGAGGTGTCGAGTCAACAGCAACTTCTTCATTGGTTGATAATATTCTGTTTTTGGATGATGTTGAAACTTTTGTTTCCTTGCTGATTAAATAGATGAGAGGCTCGACATTGTCAAGAAATAATCCTTTCGATTCAAAAACTTGTAAAACTGCACCATTTTCTAACGCATCCAGCCAATTTTGCATCAACTCTGATATCAAACCCAGATAGAGTGAACAAAATCGATCTATTGTTGTAAGCATTGGTGCCCAGACAGATCCTAACATATTGATGGGTATACCGAAGGGACTTCTATTCTGCATAAAGCCAAATAGAATTAAAACGAAGAGATAGCACCACAATATAATGTAATTTAAATACATGCTACATCGTATAATACGTGGTCTTGCCGGACCGCAGCACCAGCACAACATTCGTGGCTGATCATTATCACGAAATAATGCCCATCGAACAAAGCAAATCAACTTCACAACAAAATAACGAAGAGCATAATGCCAAGTAATGATAGATGTGACCATTGGGATAAGATGAGTCATTTGAAAATAATAATAAGTACATTTTGGACTACTTTCAGTCTCATTTAATCGACATGGGTCTCTACTATTTTCACATTCAAGTACTTTATATGGATAGTGAAATGAGAAACAATCATGTACAGGTTCACTTCGTCGAATAAATAAAGTTCTGATTACAATAAGCATGAGTACTTGTATATGAGTAGCAATTATGAGTAATATTGATCGATTAGGATTAGGAATATGCGAGAAACGTTGATCAAATCGATAACAAGTAATAATTTGTTCACGAAAATAAACTTGATTCGATTCAAATTTCCCATCAGAATAAGCCTCATTTAAATAAGCTAATACTCGATCAATACGCTTATTCTTCAAAAATGTTTGCGTTATACTTAAAATAAGCACAATTGCACAGATAACGAGAATAATTTTATCATTGACTGACTCGATCGTTTTGATAGTTGAATGAAAAATGTATGATTCCAAATCAACGCCAGAATTCTGTGTTGATAAGAAAACACCGATTGGTTTCATAAGAACTAATTGAGCTATCGTTTTACTAATAACAAACGATTTAATGTCAGTATGTATGAGTAGAATACATTATCGTTCTTTATATTCTCGAATAGCCTATATGGGTGTTTTTGTGCAGATAAGAGTTTGTCATATTAGTAAATACTACCATATGACGTGCAGTATACGAAATGTCGTAATTTTAAGTCAATCACTGTAAAAAAACCGACGTCATAATTTAATCCTCCTATTGTTTTTTAACATATATGAGTGCAAAACTTTGTTCTTTCTACTGAAGGGAGGGTCATATGAAATAAAATAAGTTTGTATGCTTGCTGGCTTGTATGTTTGCAAACACGTGTTAAGTCACGTGTCCTCCTGAATTGGTCTAATTTATAAAGTTTGACCAAAGGTAATCGAGGTCGGAGAATTCGAATCTGTGATTAGTTTTTTTGGAATTGTTGAGTTTCATTTTTTTTCATCAAGAAAATGTTTTTTAAGAAAAAGAAATCTTTTTTTTATTATAAAATTTGATCAAAGGTAATCGGAGTCGGGAAATCCAAATCTGTGATCAGTGTTAGGTCGTTTTTCCGTTTTCTTTATTATTATTTCGATCCTTCTTCCAAATATAAAAAACAACAATTGATTTACACAAACAAAAAAGCAACAAAATATGTGCTTTTCTCTTTCTCTTTCTTCCACCAGTCGATTCTTCCTCTTTAATATCATAGAGGGATAAAGAGGGTCATATTATGTCAGGAGATGTCTCCACTGACATAACAGTCAGTTTTTCAAAATTCTGAGTCGGATTTTTCATCAGGGGAGGCTTTTTTAAGAAAAAAAATGATTTTTCTCTCGGCTGAAGGAAGGGTCATATAAAATAAAAGAAGTCTATATGTTTGTATGTTCGGACGCACTTGTAAAGTCATGCGTACACCTGGATTCGTATAAGTTTTGAGTACATTATGCTGCATCGCCATGCAGCCAGATGTTTTCAGTATCAGGCATTAACTCAATCAAGTTTCTCGGTGCTGGAATTTCAGCCTATCAGACCTTTTCGCTATCTGGGTGTCATGGAGTCAGCCTTTCGACCCGTTAGATCTCCTTGAGCCAGACGTTGAGGACATCGATCCTTCAACTAATTGTTTTCTTGTGGCTGAAATTTCTGTCTATAAGCCGTTTTTCGTATCTCAGCTTCATCTTATCAGTTCTTCCTTAGAGGAAAATTAGGCAATCTGATAGTTGTTCTTGTATAATATTTATCAAATCAGAGTTTTCAAGTTTGGAAGTGCGAAGGGCAGATAGGTTCACTTTGCATATCTCATCAGTGCTTGTTTTTTCTTCGTTGGAGTTGAGCAATCAGATGCTTCTTCACACTGATGTTTCATAAGCACCGACGTAGCGTATTCTATCTATAGATAGAATAAGAATAGCTCTAGTATTTTCAATTTTCAATCGAGAATTCTGTCATTGATAATCTAATAGTTTTATGGAAGGAGCCAAAATATTGCTTCGCTAGATTGTGAATAAAAAAAGATCATCTTTTCAAGTTGTAGACTTTAGTACGGGAGCGACCCGTTGTGAGTGGGTGTGGGTTGACGTGGGTTTGAGTATGGGTGAGCTTCCTGTTCTTCTACTCATCAACACCCACACCCATCCACACCCACACCCACCCACACCCACACCCACACCCACCCCCCCCCACCACCCCCCCCCACACACACCCCCACCCACACACCCACACCCACACCCACACCCCACACCCACACCCCACACCCATACACCACACCCACACCCACACCCTTGTGATTTCCTAGATAACGAATCAATTATTTTTTGTATGCACTATGGCGTACCAGCCCATTATCCTTCTGATGTTCAAGATTGGCTCAACAAAAACTTTCCAACACGATCGATTGGTCGTCGAGATGCAATTGACTGACCTAATAGATCTCTTGATCTTATTTCAGGCAGCTTCTTCTTCTGAAGATATCTCAAAGATTTCGCATTCAAAAACAAGCCTCGAAACTTATCCAATCTCAAGTAGTCAATCATCTCGGATTTTGAAACATTAAACTCTGATCGGTACAAAAAAGCTGGGGAATCAGTGCCTGGAAGACTTCAAATGTCCCTCGATGCTAGTGGAGACCAATCCGAATATTTGAATTGAGATGCTTTATGATTTCAGTTTTCTTCACTAATATCTTCATAACAGCCTTTATTTCGATTATTGTATGTTACCATCTGGAAAAGGAGTCTTAAAAATAGGTATTGGTCATCTTGTAACATTTTTTCAGAGGTCATAACAAGCGAAAAATGCTCATTGACGTTGATCTTACTAGTTAGTAACACTGATTCGTTGAGGTCTTTCGTATGGAGAAAAACCTATAAGTAAGCTTTTGTTAGTGATATAAATTTCAGCTCGTTTGGTTAACATATGGCGGAGATATTTTAATTTCTTATCACCGTGTTATTTATCGATCATCGTGTGTATTCAGAAACACAAGTAACGCTCGTCCCTTCGACTCGCTTAGCCCTCGACTGAACAAGATATCATATTCAATTTTTCACAGACGATATAGCAATAGAAATTCACAAAAATTATACGAAAACGCAGAGTACTTTTTGAAAATTCTACTAGAAATTTGTACACATTCTAGAACATTCCTCGATAATGCTGTTGACTATAGAGTTCTCTAGGAAAATAGAAGTTCTATGGAACCCCTAGCCGAAAATAAAGCATATTATATCTAATCTCTAATCGAAATCTGATATATACAACAAGCTCTTATTCAAAGTAGTGATAAGACTAGACAGGTAATTTGAATATATCAATGTACATTCAGATACTTGAATTAATACAAACAAAAACCATATTCCAAAAGAAATACTCTTTTATTTCATTCATGTTCACTACCGATGCAGCGAATATAAATTCTTTCAGTAATACTTTTATTCTGACGAACTATTCAGTTATTTTGTCGAAACATAAAAACCGGTTCTCATCCTTGACTTGACATAGTTTTTTCAACTTTTTGTATCTGATATTCCTTATTCAGACCCATTTGACTTCGACTATTGACTTTTATTCAATGAATCCCAACACTTCGAAGGGGCACTTCTGGAGATAACCCAGTGCAGCAGCTAGCCGCGAGTGGCGCCCCGGAGGGGCGCCGATGAGTGACTAATTGCTGCCAGGTCTACTCCCATCTTTTCACAACACTATCCCTCTGTATTTTAAATTCACCTGGACCAAAATTTACTATTTCAAAACTTCGTTAATCTAAAGCGTTAGAATTATCGATAGGAATTTTCAAACAAAAGTTTTCTCATGAATTATTTCTCATTTCCGCAATTTGATTGTAGAACTGAGAAACCAGAATATTCTTTGAGGTTCTCATTAAGGAAATCTTAGTGCACTATTCTTCAAAATGCCTAACCGATACAAAGATCTTTAGTGAGATCAGTCTGTAGTATGCTTGCAATGTTAACGATTAACAGTTCATTAGCGCCCCTTTGGGGTACCAGCCACGGCTAAGTCCTCCTTTTACGTAAGTGCACTTGAACGACAGTCTCTTATTGTCCATGTAATACAACAGCTACGATATCATTCACATATGCCTTTTCAAAACTATTTTCTTTCAATAACAGTAGCTAGACATTGCACATATCAGAATTCCCGAAAACATACCAGGATAAAAGTATCACTTTTCATAATAGTAATTATAGCATATGACAAATTAATGCCAGGTCTCAATGTTAGACCCACGCCTATCCAGGTATATATTTCCGCAGATGATAGATTTAAAAACACGAAAGAACCTTTCTTATAAGTATCAAACACGACCAAATGCAATAGCTTATTCACTCTTATCGCGTACATTTAACTAATAAATAGTCAAAAACCATTCCATAGTAACTACAAATGACTCACTTAATTGATAAATATTTTCATAAGACGAAAACAAACATACAATTTCCAATTATTCTCTTCTTTTTCATACATTTATGCAAAACCGAAAAAGACATATACTGTTTCAGCTGATCATCTACACTGTAAATTTTTTTGAAATTCTACTTTTTGGAAAATCGATCTAAAATAAGCTGAAGCACTTTTAAAGCTTTATGATTTATTCATTGAATTTTGAATAATTCGAAAATGCTTGATTTTTCAATTTATAGAAATTCAATTTAATTTTCGAAAAAATCCATTTTTTAAAAATCGGAAAATCAACAACTGATTTCAGAAGGTTTGAAAAATCGTACACATATTTACAGAAAATCAAGTAAACAATAGCTGCATAGTGGCTATTGTTCAGTTGGATATATAAATTAACCGACAACATTGGTCATTCATTTTCTTTCCGGCAGCTGTAGCGAGTAAATTAATAATTTATTCTATAGCTACAGTTTGTGTTAGTCCGTACTGTGTTGACGAACACAATCAATTATTTTTTAATCATGCAGTTTTATTCCTCATAAGAGATAGAAGAAAAATTTCTAAAAATGTTTTTAATCAATATTCTCTTTATGAAGTGTTATGATATTAATGAATGATTGAAATGAAGTGATTTTTTATTTTAGTTAAATTATTCATTTATCTATTTTTCCATCTGCAATGATATTAAAGAATGATTAAATGAAATGAATTTTTATTTCAGTTGAATTATTCATTTATTTATTTACAATGATATTATAGTGAATGAATAAAGTTGAATGGATTTATATTTAAATTAGATTATTTAATCGTTTATTTACGATGATATTAATGAATGCTTCCATCAAATGAATTTTTCCTTTAGTAAAATTATTTATTTATTTTATTTCATGAAATAAAATAAATAAAAGATACTTCATCATGATATGAAAATCAAATTTGATTTTCTAGTTTTTAGAATATGCTCGAATTGCTATATCGAATCCGAAATTCTAGGAATGCCTATATGAATTCACTCTTGATTTTCTAATTAGAAAATCAAAGTTCATATTTTTAATGTTTCGAATATCTTATTTTCAAGAAT